GTCAGTATCAGAGTTCGAAACTATAATATAAAAATAAATTCGTTAAAATATATTTCACGTATCAACGCAAATTAAAGACCAATTTAATGACTGTACTAGAGTATTTTTATCGGTTATAATTTTATGATATTATTATTATTACACTCTATTTTCATTAGCTAGACTTTTTCATATCTCATTATACAAAATATGTTTACGAATATACCTGAATATGTATTACTGCGGCCAGATTGACCTCTAGATTCTACAGTTTCTATGTTTCTTTGAGATAAAGAAAAACGTTTATGACGATGTATGTTGATAAACGCTTGCGTTCCAAATAAAGATCTTTTAGATAATCTTCTGTCTTTATCTCTTTTTCCAGCCATATCTGTCAAAATAAAAATTAAGCAGTACTGGTGTTTTGATCTCGTTTATATTATTTATACAAATTCAATAATGAAATGAAAAGAGAAAAAATAAATAAAATTTTTGTGCTTTTTTAACAGTTCTGCTTGCAAAAAAAAGAATAACTCAATGCTGCTCTTTTTTTTTTTTTTTTTTTTTTTGGTTTCCTGTTTTATTTTTTTGTAACTAATAATGTAATTTATTGCTGGAAAAAGATTCTCAATATCATATATTTACTTTAAGTTATTAAGAGCATTGTTGTGTATTCCGCTGAGATATTCTTGTATCTGTACAGGATATTTTATTTCTATGCTTTTAATTTAATGGTATGTCAGAACATAATTTCTGTTTCTGAGAAAATTCAATTTCTTTCCAAAAACAATATAGTTTAGCACTTTAGATATGATTGTATCTAAATACTTATATATATAACTTGTCGTAACGCTCGTATTAATTTATTTTTTATTGAAAATAACTATTTTATCATGTTTCTGTTCTGCGTTATATTTCAGTGAACGTAATAAAGGTGTTCACTACCGTAATAAAACTAGTGTAATAAAAAAGCAATTAAATGTACCGTCAGTTCCGTATTAACAGCAGGGCTCACCCAGCACCAGGTACGCAATTTTATTATCGGGCCTCTTACGTTCGGTTGCCCTAACGCATAAGGGGCCGCACAATAAAATCGAGGATATTTTTGTTTTATTATTTTTTTAGTCGGTTACAGCGGATCAGTAGGTGGACAAAATGGGAAAAACTTTAGTTGTCTTAATCTTGAAAACATATTTAATTTTAGTATGTACATATATTAGGAGAAATTTATTGACAATTTATTTATATTAAATCCCTAAGTTACCATGACTCTGAGCATTTTAATATTAAAATTTAAAAAAATTATAAATAAGTAATTTACGGTGACATCAACACTGTGTTATATTTCAATTACATCTACGTTTTTAAAACAAATAATTAGTACATGTTATTCTAGAATATTTAAAGATAAGAAAAACCAATGTTTGAAATAAATATGTCATAGCATGTTATTTCAGTTATACTTTAAAAATCACAAGTTAAAAAAAAAAAACACTAAGAAATTTATTTTTTGCCGCACTATAACTAATAATTACCATGTGCTGCTTTATTTTTGTTTAAACTATATGATGCTTTAATCAAGTTTGAGTTGATTATCTCCTTAAATTCATCCCCTTAAATTCCCGTTCAGATATCACATGTTTTAAGTTAGTTGCTATGGTACTAAATTTTGCATAGCAACTACTCAGTTTTACATTAACATTGTTTTAACAGTATTTTATTTGCGCTTAGTTCACAATATTGGGGTATGTAGTAAAATGAGATTCAAAATTCTGAGGTTAATTTTTTTTGGTTGCTATGGCTACCTTAATTTGCATAGCGTATAAACAAAATATTTTTGGTAGTTGTTAGTAATCTAATAACTAACACTAACTGTAATTTAATTACTTTTAATTTTAATTACTAACACTTGCAGTAACTTAATTACTAACTAAAATTAGTAGTCCACGCGGCATATATATTGTAGCATTAGCCAAAATTTGCAAAATATAAATACGTTGGTTTTAGACTTACTGTTCAACGATTTGTTTACTGGTATAAAAAAAAGTGGAAATCTGCAAACTATACTGTTAAAAAATTTTTTTTCTTCTAAACTATATCAACCTGGTATTCAAAAGAAGCAGAATAATATGCTGGTTTTGAAAATATTGTTTGTTTTAATTATAAAAAAAAAAAAAAAATAGAGCTGTTTTTTTCATAAAAACAGCTCTATTTATACCTTGAAATCCCAGTCTTCGACAAAACGGGGGTTTCAAGGTATATTTTTGCAAATATTTTTTTCACTAAAATTGTTATTTATCAAACAAGCATTTTTTTCTGCTTAATTTGAGTTCAAGGTTGATATGGTTTTAAAACAAAATTCAAAAATATTAGTACCCGTCAAGAATTTATAATCCAAAGAGGAACCTCAAGATCTAATCAAAATCAAAAAATATTTTTTTACTTTCATCTTATAAATAATAGGCATCAATTCATGTGTCAGGAAAATTATTTTTTTTGCTATGAAATTGCTCCCCTTTTATATAGAACTGTGACATATACTTTAATTATCAATAATTTGTTACTTCATTTTAAAGCGTGTATCAATAAGTTGTTCCTTTATTTTAAAGCGTTTCGCTAATATAAAAACATTATTTAAAAGTTTTAACGTAACTTTCACTTAAGATATAATTCAGATTATTTTTCATTCAGCGCGTTATAAAAATGTTAGTGAGTAAAATAAATAAAAATTTTTTGCTACAAATTCATAAAAAAAAAATCATTTATCATTTTGAAAAAGATAAAAATGTTTAGACAAAGATAATAATCATCAATCAGCGTACCTATATTACAAAAAAAAGAAGTTTAAACCTTATTTATTAGGAATATTGTTTACCTTGCTTCAATACCCAAACACGATTTGAACAACCAAACAAATAAATATTTTAGGTGTCTTTTGAAGGGGTGCTAAAATTATCACCCTGCCAAAATTACCCTATTTTTAATGTTTTTATTTTTATTTTTTATTTTACCTTATTTATTATGTTTTTAATGTTTTTTATTTATTACATTATACATGTTTCATTACTAATTTTTTAATCTTGGAGTAGTGTAAAAAATGTCTTGACAAAAAGTTGTTTAAAAGTACTGTTTGAAGATATTTTTTACGCTCGGCGCATCCCTAAAATATATATAAACAAATATTGTACATGTATAATAAATGTGCATATAAAAGAAAAAAAATACCACCTACTACTGCTATGCGTGATTCAATTGTTTATGAGAAGGTAATCTTGAGTAATATTTATGAAGAAATAATAATACTATTACATCTACTTGCGTAGTTGTTAGCTTTTAATATTTAAGAAACTGTGAACAAGAAATGACTTTATTCAATAATTACTACCTTTTGTAATTAAAACTTCAATTTGTCTGCTTACAGCAGCAGTTTAAGTGTCCGTAGGATGTCTTAAGCAAGTCATTACAAAAATATTTGTATATAGGGCCATCGGCAAAAAATACAGGGCTGGAGGACAAATATTGATTCCTTTTTATTTATTTGAAAAAAAAAAGTTTTCATATACATAATTGTATTCTCTTTAAAAAATTTAATTACAGTTTTATCTGTTTATAAAGCTAAAAACCCCTTTTGTTTATACAATTACAATTCCAACACAATCTTTATTGTATGATTAAGGTTATGCAATAGTTGTTGGAGGAGTCAAATGTTAAGATCTTTACACAACTGTTAATTGTACATTTGAAAAATAGTAATAATTTTCAGAAATATTAGGGAAGGGATTACGTAAAAGTAATAAGAGTTTTATGAAAATAACAAGATCTATCAAGTTTCATCTTTTAAAAAATTTTTATGCTCGTTTTTATACCTTTCTTTTCTGTCGCAAAGATTTTTTTGTCATTTTTTGTCATAAAAATTTTGTAATTTTGTAATTTTTTTGTCATAAAAATTAAGTTGACCTACATGCTCACATTCAATTTCGGGAAAGCCAAACGTGTAAGTCCAATTTGGTACATTGTTAAAAGGATAATATTTTTTATATATGCTAGTTCACGACAACACGGTCGTTCAAACTTTACTAAAAAGCGCCAGGTTATTATACGCAGGCGCATTGGCATACTTGATATTTGAAGAATTTTCAAAATGGCTGTGGATCTTCGAAACAGAATTAACCTTTCTTAGCAACAATTTTATTTGCATTATTTGTTTTTATTTTTTGAATTTATAAATGATTTTTGTGCTATATAATAATAGAGACACCCTATTTTTTATAAAAATAACTAAAGTTAATATGTATATGAATAATTTTACTAATAAAATTGAGTTACTTTTGAAGTTATTATGCTGTGGTTTGTTTATAGTTTTCAAAATTATTTTTCTAAATACTTGAGCGTTAAACTTTTTCAGAATTTTCAAAAAAAGTTTTATAAATCTTATATGTTTTCATTTCTTTTAATTAATCTCAGGACACAATTTTTTTTTCTTGTTCAAAATTCATATTTTCTCAAGTAAAGTTATAAAATACAATTTTTTACAAGGTCACAATTTTATAATTTATGATTATTTAAAAAAAAAAGAAAATTGTTTATTTATAAAATTGAATTTACTTTTTTTTAAAAGATTTTTTGGAAAATGTGTATTTAGGACATCCACCTAAAAGTCAGTAAAAAATGAGTTTTATGCAAAACCATACCTTAATGCTAAACCATAAACATAACCCAAAAGATTAAGACTAAGATTTTTCTTTAATTTATATAAGGTATTAATTTCAATAATACTTATTTTTGTTCCACTCAATTTACAGTGGTTCTTAAATAGTATTTATTGTATTTGCACTAAAAGCTTTTATTATATTTGCACTTGAAAATTTTATTACAATTTTATTTATTTTTTAAATTAAATTTATAAAGCTGAGTTATGATTTGAATATAGTATTTTAGTAGTTAATAGTTATAAATAATAGTTTTGATTTCAATTTCATTCTTTATTTAAAAGTTATTAATTACTTTCTTTCTTTAGATGGATTTGCATATAACAAATTTAAACCTTCTTTGCAGAGTTTGTGGTTGTTTTATTGGGAAAAAAAACTACTCAATTGGAGTCATCCAAAAAGATAAAATTGAAAAGATGTTTCACGTCAAATTAACAGATTTAGAAGGAGTTCATCCTTCAAAAATTTGTCCTAAATGTTACAAAACAATTAACATAGTAATAAAAAGAATGTCATCAACTACTCTGCTTTTATGTACAAAGTTTACACCTCATTGTGATTACTGCTATACTTGTCATCGTGTGAAAAAACTGAGTCAGGGTGCTATTTTTTCAAATTCCCAAATAAGGAGTAAAACAAAGTTTATTGGCCATCCTAAAATTGGCGAAAAGGTTTGGAGTTTTTCTATCTTGAGTACTTTAAAGGAAAATATTTTGACATTACACAATTTGGAAATAGACAATAACGACTTGGTAAATGAATTTAATCCTTACTTACAGCTATGCATATGTTGTTTATGTGGTAAAATACCAAAACAACCGGTATTTTTGAAAAAATGTGAACGTTTGTTTTGTTTTTTCTGTTTAGTGGAGATTATTAAAATTAGGTTCTTTAATGAAACTGCATGCCCAAAATGTAACGAACCTTTAATACCTGAAGACTTAGTTGCCAGCAATAAAACAAACTCCCTTATAAAAATGTTAAGTGTTGAATGTATTCTATGTAAAGAAAAGTTTAATGTAATAAAAGAATATGATGTATATATACATCATAAGCTTATATGCAATGGAAAATCTGTAACAAAATCATTATTTTTGTCCTTACCATTATCTTTACCAAGTTTGTCACCAACATTGTATACTTTTAACAATAGCATTTCTGAGATTTTCAATCTAACAGCTAATAGTAATATACCAAGAGTTGTTGAAGATGCTGCACTCCATGTTCTTAAACAAAAGATGGAAAAAAGTGGAGGAAAATCAATTTCATTTAAAAGTGGAGGACCTAGAGTAAAATTTGTTTAGTTTAGTTAAATCAATTTAAAAAAATTAATAACTGTATTCTTCATAGATTCCTTTTTTTTTCAGCCAGTTCTGTTTTCATCTATTGCAAAGGCATATGTCACAAGCAATGAGGCATCAAGTACAACAATAAAAGAAAGAAATGCAATTTTGAAAAGAAATATGGAAATTGTGTCTGGTACATCTACTGATTCAGTTTGTAGCCAGTCTTCGAAGCTGCTGAAATCATTTCCATCAGAAACAAGAGAAAAAATATTGACTAATTTGAATATTGAAGGAGTTGCAATTAGTGCAACTAAAATGGTAGCTATGAAAGCAGATCTCGGTTTACCTTGGGAAAAGCTAAAAAATATCTAGGTTATTATTTTTCTGCATATTTTTAAGTTTGTTCAAAAAATTATTTATTTTTATAGAATAGTGCAAATGATATTTTTACAGGTGGCTAAAGAGCTTTAATATAAAAACAGCATCACATGCTTCTCAACGAATAATTAGTGAAAAACTTTCTGGGAACGACTTTATTGTAGAAAATGCTCCGTTTACATTTGAAAAAAAAAGTAAAGGGACGTTTGAAATAAAGGATGCAACATTCGGTTACATTAAAAGTTTGCAAACACATATATTTAGACATCTTGATCAATTAGAAAGGTGATTTTTATTAAAATAATGAATTAAATAAAAATTTAAAAACATATTTTTAAAATAATTTTGCATTTAAAGTCCTAAATTTTAAATACCTAAACATATGTATTTAATGTTAGAACAAAGACTTTCCTTATAAATTACTTTGTCGCTTATTTAACACATTAAACTTTTAATTATTTTATTTTACTTTCCCAAAAAACTATATTAAAACTGTAATGTCTGATGTCTATAATTTCTTGTAGTATTCTTGTGTTCAATAAAGTATTGAATGAAATCTTTTCAATTCTTTATTTAATACTTATTTTACTAATTTTGTTAATGTATTATTTATATAATACTTATATCTCTTCTATAGTTGTAAAAGTCTTCATTACCATGAGTTTTTTCCTGAGAAGGAAATACAGATTAAGATAGGAGGTGATTACGGTGGTGGAAGTTTCAAAATGACTTATCAGGTAGCAAATACCATAAACCCAAACAGCAAAGATAACACCATTGTTTTTAGCATTTTTGAGGCAAAGGATTACCAAATCAATATTAAAGTTGCCATTTCAAGATTTGAAAAACAAATAGAAGATCTTCAAAAAATGAAATATAAGTAAGTTTTCTTTAAATAACACTATTAGATAAAGTATAAATAAATCTTTTTTGTTTGTTTGCACAATTCGCAATTCTAAATTGTTAATGAATAATTAGGTTACTTATACGTACCTGGTACGTTTAGGTACATAATTTGTTTTCAAAATCCCATCACGTATGTTTAGTAAAACTTGTAAAGGGATTTTTTTTTAATAAACAAATCAAATTAAAAAAAAAAGATTTTAACAAGTTAAATATTTTTATTTAGGCCTAATAAGATGAATAATTGTTAAAACATTTTGATAAGGTTTACATTATTCATTTCATAATCTTTATATGCATAGAGATTTTATTGCAATAGTTTGTGTATTACACATTTATTTATAGTGATAGCAACATTAGAGTATTTATTTTTGGAGATTACAAGTTTCTATGTGCACTTTATGGTATTTCAGGTGCCTCAGGTATTTTTTTTTTCAAATTTTAAATTATTGGCTTTTTACGCTTATAGATATCCGATTCTCGATTTATGAATCAAAAATCAATTAACACTAATCTAACCTAAAATTCAAAATGATGACCCTGTTTAATAATATAATTTTTGTTCTTAATTATCAATATATCGTTTATTTTATTCTTGAGGGAGGCATTGTTGTCTTTTCTGCTATGCGACAGCAAGTGAAATGAAATGCATTGACCCTGAAATAAAGTATCGCACATTGGAAGATTTATGTTTGGATCATAAAAGGTTTATGGAAAACGGAGGTCTAAAGAATATTGCCAAAAATTTTAATAATGTCATAAATGAACCAATTTTAAAAATACCACTAGACCAAGTAATTTTTATTTTTTATACCTTTAATTAATAATATCAAAGTACTATACTATATACAAATTATGTTTTTTTTAGGTGTCTTTACCTAGTCTTCACATGGCTCTTGGTATTTATTTAAACTTTTTTAACATGTTTGAAGAAGAAGTTCATCAATTGGACATATTGATGGCTGCTGAACCGCTAAAGAGCGGCATGAAATGCTCAGAAGAGTATGAAGTTTTTATAAACAAACAAAAGCAATTGTGGAATCTTCAAATAGAGATTCTAAATATTGATGATCAAATTGAATTAGTTAATGATGTCATTTTATTAGCTACAGTAAATAATTCAGATGATGTAGATGATGCTCAATCTCTTTACTTGACAGAAATTGAGCTACTTATTAATGAAAAAGAAAAAAAGGTAATTTTTTTTTGTGAGTTCATTAATTATAATACCTTGATATTGAGGTAATGTAAACCTGAACTAGTTTTTCAAGCACTTGGTAAAAAAGGTAATTTGGAATAAGTACATTTAGCAGCCAGGATAAAACATGAGTTTACTAGCTTTTACTCAATTAAGTTCATACTTAAAATGATAATGTTAGATATTAGATGCCTATATAAAAGTGACTTAGGCCCCGGGTACAAGTGGTTTTGATGGCTCAGATAAAATAAGGAACAAAAAAGAAAAAAAATCTTTTAATGTAATAATTTTAGGTATAATTGCTATAAAAATGTTTTTATAGTTTTATATGTTTTATATAGTTTATATGTTTTATATGTTTAATTATACCTTTTAGTCATTTTTGCCCCATTGTCCCCAAGACGCTAAAATCTTTGCTACGCTACTGGGTAATTTAAAATAGTATTTTAAAAATTTTGAAATCCATTGATAGTTTTTTATGTGTTTGTTTTTAGACAAATCTATTCAATACTCTTGAAGAATATTTTTTAAAGAAGGGTCAAGGACCTTGTACTCAAATGATTGAGACTATATTACAACAGCTTAATGTTCAACGCCAAGCATATCATGGAAAAAGTTTTATTGGAAATCATGTGCATAAAATGCTTAAAGTAAGTTAAGTTAAAAGTTAAAGATATAAAATAACTTAAAGTTTTAAAGTAATATTTCAACAAAAATTAACTCAAATACAGCATAAAATAAATTTTTTATTAACTATTAAATAGTAAGTAATGGTTTTATAATTTAGTTTTAAATTATTGTTTAGAAACCTTCAATACTTCGGTTATGCAACTCTATACCTAAGTTTGTTTATGATGAGGGTTATTCAGGGACCAATATACATCTAAAATCAATAGAAATTAGCAAGCAATACAAACAGCTCTTTGATAAATTTGCACAGTGTTATAACATATTTTCATCCAAAAATACTATTTCAACAGAAAAATTAAGTATTTTAAGTAAGTTTCATTTTTTTTTATTATGTGCTTAAATGTTATTCCTGATTTTTTGTATTAACTTTTATTGCATTAATATTTAAATTGTTCAGAAAAGAAGATAAGCGATTTGATGCAATTTTATCGGGAAAATTGGCCCGAGGCCTCAGTGTCGCCAAAGTTACATATGCTGGAACGTCATACTGTTCCGTTTTTAGAAAAATGGAAAGCAGGATTTGGGTTTTATGGCGAGCAAGGCGGCGAGTCGATACATGCAGAGTTCAATAAACTGAAAAATATATATCAATCAATTCCTTGTCCAACAATGCAATTGAAAAGTATTCTGAAATCCCATTACCAAAAGACAAACCCAGAGAACATGCGACTTAAGCCATGTGTAAAAAAAAGAAAATTTGTTAAGAAAATTGCTTGAATATCTTCGAGTCTCCGAAGAAGGGAAATTAAAAACGGCTATTTTCATAGCCACAAACATATTAAAAGCATTATTTAGTATAAAATAAATTTTGAGCTGTGGGCGGTAAATAAATATCAGTTTTTTTTATACATGTAAAT